TGGTTGGACATAATATAGTATTTCTGATTACTTTGCTTGTGTTGGATGCTGAATGTACTCGCGTGTTCTTCCACCGGAGTCATAACTCATACATGCACTGTTATTCCTGTCTCACCAGGCTTACACAATACATCTTACTTACTATCAGCTTCAACATATTGACTTTTGAATCTTTCGTTCTCCCCAGCGCTTTGGATCTAGGTAGCTCTAGCGATGATGATGACGACAACCACGACGCTCTCAATCTTTCTGTACACTTATCGACACGCAAACCCACTGAGAAACGCCAGCGTAATGTGTTTGGTCCAGATGGCACCCCTGGTATGCAACATCAGTGATCCGAGAATCTCTGTATGGTGGTGACGGTCTCGACCATGTTGTATATGTAGTTGTGAGTAGATGTAATGATTATGATATATGTCTATACATGTGTATGTGAATACTTATGTGTATGTATTTCCGGGCAATATTGGTCGCTTCCACCGCATTAGCGGAGGAGACCTGTGCGGATCGGTTGCTTAGTGGTCGCGGTTATCTTAAGGCACATAAGTCAACATTGCAGTAGCCGATGCCCAATTTAAATTGGACACACCACCCGCGCGACCTTCAGATCGCCGCAGATGTGTTCTTCAACACGCTGACATCATATACTTGCCAAGATTCGTCGTATTCATACCTACAGTTCCCAGTATCCCGTGCTCTCCTTGCCATACCCACACTTGCACTATTCCTTTCTCTCCCATTTATGCATACACCCTCCTTGTCCCGTACCTTCTAGCGCGCCTGGGGAAGTTCAGCAACGCCACCACCCCGGCGAAACGGAGAGAACAGAGACAGCAGGCAATGGAAATGTGTGACAACGATGTCAACATGGCTACTAGTGAGGTGGTGAAGCTGTATCAGAAGAGTATCCAGCTATGTACATCAAATGTATGTTAGGAGTATGTGTAGATGTGTGTTTGTACAAAGGGAATACACCGACATAGACTAGAGCGTAGGTGTTAGTACCTGTATCGCCGAATGCAGCCCAACGAATGCTTGGGAATTGGGTCTGTTGGCGGGAGTATGATGAAATTGAGCCAAACCATCCTCTCTATCGTCTTTGCATCGTATTCGCATCTCAGTCACCTTCGTGAATATATGGAGTTTGGAACTGAACGATTCCATCGCTCAAGAATTGCGAGCCAGGCCTGCATGAAATGTATTGCATCTATACTCATATTTACGTAATAGCAGCTGCGTCGGTCGTTGAAAGGTAAACAATTGGGTCTGACACTATAATTGTTCATACATGTATCTCAGAAAATCAACTCCACCAATGCGTGGGAATTGGGTCTGACACTATAATTATCCATACTTGTATCTCAGAAAATCAACTCCACCAATGCGTGGGAATTGGGTCTGATAGACCATATCGAGAGGGCAATTGATCCGTCCAACACGGGAGAGATTAACTTCCAGCGTGCCGGTAGTGCCATTGATGCCAGTTGCAAGATCTTCTCTGCGCGTGTGGATAATGTCCATAGGAAGGTTTATAAGGTGTGTCTAAGTAAGCTGTATATAAACTTCAAGGTATGCACAATTAGTATGGTATTGCGCACCAAGCTGCACATGATGTTTGATTATGCACATTAAGATTTTGAACGTTGTGGATGGGAAATGTACATAGGAAGTTGTACAAGGGGTATGTGGCTGGATATACTGGAAAAGTAGGTAATATAAGTGTGGATGTCTCGGTTCTGTACCTTGAGAGGTAGAGTTTTGGCGGATGTGATTGTCACTGGTTAATACTGGACCGGGTATGTACCATGAACCCTTTCTATTGATGTTTAATTGGTACGGACTCCGAGTACTATCAGGCGAAGAAAGGTCGCATTCAGCGGGGGCATTCCCAAAATCGCAACACATGGTGGATCTAGCTATTGATGTCCTCGATATCTGCAAGAGCCCGTAAAGGAGGTCTGAAGTATCAAAGGTTCCGCTGGGTCGCTAACATATGCGTGCTTTCGCGCTATATCTGCCCTGAACTGTCTGCCGATGACGCGAGGTCATTTGACAATTGCAGTAAAAATAGCAATTTGGCTCAACAATGGGCTGTTAGTGCGCTCTGGTTGTCCTGCCCTGTTCGATAGTGCGGCAGGTTCATTTGTCACTCTGGGTGCAAACGGAGTTTATGTCAATGAGTTCAGCATCCAATCTGGGTTAGGCTGTTAGGGGCATGAACGCGGGCGGGTTATATTGGTCTATGGCATAGCTGCTCTTCCCAGTGAATATATATCGGATAAGTTTCTAAAGACTCGTAGTGTCCGCTCAATACGCACGAATTTATATACTCCAGGTATTGGATGATCTCACCCGCAACCGCAACAGCCGTAAGGAAAAAGATGGCGACGACATGGACGGGGACCCAACTAAGCTAAAGCGAAAAGTATGTGTGAACAATGCAACCAAGCTGAAAAGAAACGTGTGTGTGAACAATGCAACCAAGCTGAAAAGAAACGTGTGTGTGAACAATGCAACCAGGCTGACAAGAAACGCGTGTGAACAATGCAACCAAGCTGGAAAGAAACGTATGTGAACAATGCAACCAGGCTGAAAAGAAACGTGTGTGAACAATGCAACCTAGCTGAAAAGAAACGTGTATGTGAACAAGGCTCAATGCGTAACCATGGCCTATGTGCAATTAGTCAACCGACAATTTGTTCTGCAGCGAAGTTACGTTCGTGAAATCAGACTACGGTCAGAAATTGTATTGTTTTTAAAATTATTTCTCCATGTGTGATTCTACTTAAAAAAAAATGATAATTTAAATTGCGATTATTTCATCATGTGCGATGCTAGTTTATAGTACGATTATCTCCCCATGTGTGATTCTAGTTAAATAGTGATAATCTAAAGTACGACCGTGCGCTATCCTTGTTCATGCACAAGCTGGCGTGTTCATTCGAGAGACTGGCAATCTAAGGCTCGTATCGGTGCATTTGTGTCATGATCATGCCCATGTGAGAGTATATAGGAGTATAGGAGACTGGGACATGGTGTACGTAAATCGGCATGTCGATAGTATTATTTGGTGCTCCACGCCAGCAGTGCCCCCTCGCTTCTCCGTCAAACGCACACACACACACACACACAGACACTCGTAGTCCTACCCACAATCCTGATATCATGGTATATTGCTAGAGTCATGGCGTGATGTCTACCTCCAGTATATCATCCATAGTGTTTGTGTACATGTATTTTCCTTTACATATCAGATTATAACTGTCAAGTGCCATTTTTTTAGGGCTATGGGGTCTGGATAGCGTGTTGAATATGCACCCTCTAAAGTCTACATCTGCGGGGGGTTTTTGGCCTTAAAACCTAAACTTTAAAACCCTTCTGTTCAACGTGGCGGGTTCTTCTGACCTGGTCTACCCTGAGTGTTACAGTGATCGATGATTCTATGCCTGTGCCGAGTCCTCACCTTCCCACGAGTGAACCTGCTACCCTTTGATCTGTACCCAATCCTTATAACCTCACAGTATTATGGTATCCTGTTCTATGTGCCTAACAACCAATCTGCACGTACGCTCCCTACAACAAACTGTGTGGTCTCTGTCGCAGGCTCGCTCGGGTGTGACTATTGAGAAGAATTTGTCCAAAATCACGCTGGACGTCTTCGATACTGAGGTCGATCCCATGTTCCGTCAAACCTCTGGTGAGTTATTCGTTCGCGAGCTTCTCGGTATGGCTCCGAGCTGGATGTATGCCCTGAGTAAAGCCACATACTCGAATACGATTGCTATCAACTGGGATTCTTGGTTTGTCTTCCAACTGGATTTTGTGTTGCGGAAAGTCTTCTATTTGTGTATTTATGATGCCGAGACCTGGGCTTGTTCATGCATGCTCGCCCTCACTTTCCCTGTCCCATGTGCATCTGAATGTGGGTTTCCCTTTGACTTCTAAGCTCTGCTTGTCCAAATGTGCATACGATATATCACGAGCCAATGCGCTTATTTTAGATTGAACCTCATATCACTGTAGCGCAGCATCAAACTATATCTGTCAACAGATGTATCCTATATCTGTCAATAGGTGTTTCCTATACTTGTCAATAGGTGTATACAGTATACCAATTGTATGGCATCCGAGTTAGTGTCTCGGTAGTCTATAGCACCAGTGCTCAGTTGCAATAGCTGTGTATAGGGTCGTTGCCTGCGTTAGGCGGTTGCCAGGACGACTGACCGCGCGTGTGTGCTAAACTTGAGAGTACGAGACAGTGGCACTTCACTATGTATGCATGTATAGATAGAACGATTGTGGTAGCTACATACACAAATCTCAGGGTATGGGCCAAAAGGGGGTGGAAACCAGCGTCGCAAATTAGTTCGAAATGTCGCATATCACTTCAAACAGACCCAGTTCACTAATGTTGCATATCCGCATATTCGTTCACGCCGTCGTATATTAAATATACCACATCCCCAGTTCACTTAGTTGCTTATTCGCATATTCGTGCACACCCGTCGTATATTATATTCACCCCATTCCCATCCTTCCCATCGCACATGTACAATGCAGCCAACTTCGACGAGGGCGGTGCGCGTGGTCTGTTGCTGAACAACCTGTATCTCAAAGCGGGCGGTGAGTTGGTGTTTGACCTATCGTCCGCACGCGTCAATGTGCCGAGTCTCCTTCCAGAACACGAAACGGACGGTCCTGAACCCAAAGATTTGAGTGACCTGCCCACCCCAGAGGAGCTGTCTAATGTGGATTGGGAGGACTACAGAAACAGGATGATCCCGCGCGTCTGTGCGCTGGAAAACGCGTCCATCTGCCAAAGTCTGTCGATGTTCAGCTTTAACGAGAGCGCCATAAAGACGGAGTTAGACTTCGGGGTGCGTTGTGTGTCTGTGTCTGGTTCTGTGTCTGTGTGTGTGTGTGTGTGTGTGTGTGTGTGTTTATGTATGTATGTATGTATGTATGTATGTATGTATGTATGTGTGTGTGGGTGTGGGTGTGTGTGCATGTGTGCGTGTGCATGCATGTGTGTAAATATATATGTGTGCGTGTGCATGCGTGTGTGTAAATATATATGTATGTATGTGTGTGTGTGTTTGCAGCGAGCTTATTTTGAGATTTATCTACAGATGGAAGTTCTGCTTTCTAAATGCGGGTTGTGCAAGTGTCCAACATGACAGTTATGTTGCAGAAGGTCAATCCTAGTCTTGAACAAGTATAGTTTCCTCTTTTCTTCACCTCATGTATATTTTCACATCAGGTGATTATAGTTTGCAGAGGATTTAATCTGTAACAAGTATAGTCATCCTAGTCTTCACCTTCACCTCATGTATATTTTCACATCAGGTGATTATAGTTTGCAGAGGATTTGATCTTTAACAAGTATAGTCATTCTAGTCTTCACCTTCACCTCATGTATATTTTCACATCAGGTGATTATAGTTTGCAGAGGATTTGATCTTTAACAAGTATAGTCATTCTAGTCTTCACCTTCACCTCATGTATATTGTCACGTCAGGTGATTATAGTTTGCAGAGGATTTAATCTGTAACAAGTATAGTTATCCTAGTCTTCATCTTCACCTCAAGTATATTGTCATGTTCGGTGGTCATAGCACTCATCGTCCATGTACCTTCTCCTGCAGGTCAATCTGAACGATCAGACCTTTAATATGGAAGACCTAAACCTCAACATGGACGAAGGCCCCGGACAGGAGGACGGCCCCGAATTGGGCGGCAACGACGACTTCGGTGCATACGATGACATGCCTAACATGTGGGAACCTGAGAAAACTGAGTAAGCGGGGCAGAGTCATGTATAGATATGTAGATCGTTGGGTTGTATTGGAAGTAGGCGTGCGTAGGATATGGGCTGTGGCTATACCACGTTTCAATTTCAGATGAATGGGCAAGTGGTGCAGTGTCATGTATGCACGTTGATTTTATTATTTGGATGTATTGGAAGTAGGCGTGCGTAGGATAAGGGCTGTGGCTATACCACGTGTCAATTTCAGATGAATGGGCAAGTGGTGCAGTGTCATGTATGCACGTTTATTTTATTATTTGGGTGTATTGGAAGTAGGCGTGCGTAGGATAAGGGCTGTGGCTATGACATGTGTGGACGGGATATCACTGAGTATGTCCTGGTTGCTCTTTTGTAAATATCTATCTCTCTCTCTTATATCTACTGGCTTAAAAACTCATGAACTCGCCCGGATAGTCCGTTTTAGAGTCAAGACCGAATCAGATACGAACTCGAGCGAGACGATATATACGTGTATTATCGAAGTGTTCATCATTTGTTCTGTAATTTTAGTACAGAGTTAGCACCGTATTGGGCGGCCCACTTCTGTAGTGGGGCGATATATATATATATGTATATATATATATATATATATATATATATATATATGTACATACACACACACACACACACACACACACACA